TTTGTAGTTGTTTTGCGTCACTTTGTAGTTGTTTTGTGTCTCTTTGTGGTCATTTTGAGTCTCTTCCTGGTTTATACGCGTCTCTTCGAGTGACATTTTACATGTGAAGGCCAGAGGGGCCCCTGACGCTTTGGGCCTGATCAGTAATCCGTCCATACCTTTTACACATTCGTGGTAACTGGACTCCATGTACAGTGTGCTTAGCATTAGTTAATGTTACACTATTAGTTGCAATGTCACTGGTAAAGTAATTTAAATGAACTTACAATGGAAACTGTGAGGAACATCATGTGTTTTCTTATCAGTGATCACAGAAGCACCCCCTCTTGAGTCCCAACAGGTAATCAATGAGCCTCTTCTGTCTTTATGTCTGAGATCACTCTGGGACAGTATAGCTTCATGTTGACATCTTGACATCTTCTTCTGGTCTTTAACAACCGACAGCACAAAGCCAAGCTGTGAGAGGAAACGTGTTGACAGAAAGACTCCATTGTTGAACGCTGTATATTCCTTCTTCTGCTCCGTCACAGTGAAGAAATGTTAAGCATTGTCAATTATGCACCATAATATATGTTAAGTAGGTATTTCAGATGAATGTCTCCAATGTTGACCTGCGACATTTCCACAACAAAACACACAACAAACACAAGCATTGTGCTTTTATACAGCCAGTCAACTGTCCCAAACTGTACTGCATTTAAAAGAAAGATCCATGATAAACGGGAGTTTCCTTGTGCAGCACTTCTTCCTCCAGCAGTCTGATCATAATCACCAACAACAGTCACTCAAAACCTTCCAGCAGCCTCGGATGAATCTCTCTTCTGTGGCATTAGAGCTTATTGGTCATGAACCCTGGTGCAAAGGTTTTTTACCTCCAACAAATCACATGCAGGCAAACATCCTCCACCACAGAGGTTTGTTAATGTGCTGTGATACAAACCTGAACCACGACATCACTTTAAACACCGTGAATGTGAAGTATTAGGTCAGAATTGTGGACGGATTGAAATATAATTTGGTGCAATGTTGGTGGTTTAGCAGACAATCCAGAGCAGAATGAATGTGTGTCTCATCAGTCACAATGTTTTTGGTTGAGTTTAAGGTCTATGTTCCTGGCATTGAGGAGGTTTATGGTGGGGATGCACGACCCAGTCGGCAGACACATGTTTTGCCGTTGTGCGTTTCTGCAAACAGTGTGATACGTTGAATATTGACGTTTCTGCAGCTTATTGGTTGATCGCTGGTATCTGATCAGAGCCCAGGTATCGATATCGGGGTTTGGAAACGTTGTATTGGTGATCTCTAGTTAACAGTTAGTTAGTTTCACATAAATGCATTTACTGCAAAGAAAATATTCCATCACATCAAAGTGTTTATCAGCTGTTTCACTGCATTTTATCATTTGTTGGATTTGGGGGGAAAATACGCTGGTTTTGACTGAAGCAGAAAGCAATAAAAACAACAGCTTTTACAGTTTCTGGCAACTGCAACTTATGGAAAAAAATCATAATTTATAATTGTGAGAAGCATTGACGCTATGGGAGTGAGATAAAAGATGCAAATGCTGCTCTGAGTATAATTCTGTGAAGGTTTTGAGATGAATACGTATTTTGGATGAATCAGGAGGTTGAAGTTTCCACCTCTGATGTCATCCATTCATGAGTACATGACGTAATCATTCAATGACATCAATCAACACAAAGTGAAGAGTTTGTTCTTCTTTCAGATAAAGAAGAATATGTGGAGGAGGCTAACCTGGAGATTGCTCAGGTAATCAACAACTCTTCTTCTTCCACACAACTAAAGAAACTCTACATACCATAATACTTCCCTCTCCTCCCTTCATCTGTCAGCAGAGAGGTGTGAGCTGTTTCTAAACTCACTGAGCTCTCAAGCTGCTGCTGACCAATCATTTCACATTTACTTTGAAATGTTTCATGAGAAAACTCATTTGACATGTGACCTTCTCACATTTAGGCCTTTTAAATTAAGAGTTTATGTTTGAGCTGTGAATTTTATATTGTATTTGATGGGAATGATGAATTCAACATAATAATAATAATAGTAAATATATTAATAATCTTTATTTATGAAGCGCTTTTCAAAACAAGAATCAAACATTTCAAGACTTTAAACAAATGACAGCAGACAAATAAAACAAATGAAACAAATTGCCTGTTGCCTGTCACCCTCACAGGCAATTCAGTATAATATAATAATATATATCATATAATAATATTCTGTATAATATAATAATGTATATCATATAATAATATTCTGTATAATATAATAATGTATATCATATAATAATATATATGTCATATAATAATATTCACTATAATATAATAATATATATCATATAATAACATTGTGTATAATATAATAATGTATATCATATAATAATATATATATCATATAATAATATTCACTATAATATAAAACACACACACACATATATATAATTATGTATTTATAACTATATATCAATTTCTCAGACAGGTGCTTCATGTCCCTCACTCCCTAACTGTCCATGCTGGATCTGTCCCCGCGAGGATCGCTTCCGGTTTCAACTTCCGGTTCAAGGATCGAGGATCGCTTCCGGAAGTTGAAACCGGTTCAACCGGAATCGAGGAAATTAATCTATTTGAGGACGCTGATTGGCTAAATTGTATGTCACACATTTATATCTTTAACCAGCAATTGGCTAAACTGCTTCATAGCCCCGCCTCTTTGGGGCAGTTTCTCCAGCCCCCAGAGCTGCTGAGACGTGCACGCGGAGAGGACGTGCAGGAAAAGCATATATCTACCGCAGATATCATATGTTGGACATATTACTGGGTGATTCCATGTTTCAAAAACACAAATATTGACAATTTGTATAGTTCATTATTATCATTACTATTTATTGTATTGTATTTGTTGTGGCTCAAGGCGGGGCGGCGCCTTAGCGCCCTCTAGTGACCAGCCGCCACTGTCTGGAGTTAATGTGAGTTCAGTTGTGGATGAATTGAAAACTAACTTCAGAAAACAAAGTTCACTAAAGTTCACATTATGTGCTCATGAACTTATAAACTTACAACTAATTGTGCGTGTAAATATTTTTATTATCACTTCTTCAAAGAGCTTAATCACAAACATTTACTAAACTTGCACTGATATAATTAAATAAAGACATCTATGAGGAACTCACACTGTAGCCCCGAGTTTAAAGACGGACAGCATGAAGACCACAGAGAGCATCAGAGAGGAAGATCAGCAGCAGACAAACAGGACAGATGATCCATTCAGGCTGCTGCATGATGCCTTTCACATGACAGGGAGGGGGGGGGGGGGGGGGGGGGGGGGGGG